CCAAAACCAGACCAAAACCCAGACCAAAACCAGACCAAAACCAGAAAACCCAGACCAAAACCCAGACCAAAACCCAGACCAAAACCCAGACCAAAACCAGACCAAAACCCAGACCAAAACCCAACCAAAACCCAGACCAAAACCCAGACCAAAACCCAGACCAAACCCAGATCTAAACTCCTCCTGACCCGTCTCCTCCTGCACAATGATGATTCCGGTGCGTCAAAGCACCTGGCAGCAGATGACAGGAGCGTGACAGGAGCGTGACAGTGACAGTGACAGGGGCGTGACAGGGGCGCGCCTGGACTCACCGTCAGGGGGCAGTTGATGCAGGGCGTCCTGCTGTTCAGGCTGAAGATGTGGATGAAGAAGAAAACGAGAAGAGCCACAAAGAACCAAAGAGCCACAACCTCAAAGAACTGGAAGGCGTACCAGCTGGGCCACCCCCGCGCCAGGTGAATGCACAGGAACGTGACCAGGAGCGCCACCTGTCAGAGACACAACACCTGTCAGACACACAACACCTGTCACACAACACCTGTCAGACACACAACACCTGTCAGAGAGACAGGAACATGACCAGGTGCGCCACCTGCCAGAGAGAGAGGGAACTCTGAGTCTGTGACGAAATTGAGGAAACGGGAGGTTCTGTTGTGAGGAAACAGGAGGTTCTTCGTCTTCGGAGCCACAGTTTCCTCCTGCTTCACTTGACTCCAGCACCAAAGTTTTGGGTTTGGTTCGTTTTCTCAAACCCGACTCAGACCTGCCCCAGTCTGGGTTTGGTTCATCCTGAAAACCTTTAGTTTCATCTCATTCAAGACACAGACTCACACTCATCATAATCCAGCTCTAGTCCCGGTCTAGTCCCGGTCTAGTCCCGGTCTAGTCCAGCTCTAGTCCCGGTCTAGTCCCGGTCTAGTCCCGGTCTAGTCCAGCTCTAGTCCAGCTCTAGTCCCGCTCTAGTCCCGCTCTAGTCCCGGTCTAGTCCCGGTCTAGTCCCGGTCTGGTCCCGGTCTAGTCCCGGTCTAGTCCCGGTCTAGTCCAGCTCTAGTCCCGGTCTAGTCCAGCTCTAGTCCCGGTCTAGTCCAGCTCTAGTCCCGGTCTAGTCCAGCTCTAGTCCAGCTCTAGTCCCGGTCTAGTCCAGCTCTAGTCCAGCTCTAGTCCAGCTCTAGTCCCGGTCTAGTCCCGGTCTAGTCCCGGTCTGGTCCCGGTCTAGTCCAGCTCTAGTCCCGCTCTAGTCCCGGTCTAGTCCCGGTCTGTCCCGGTCTGGTCCCGGTCCTCACCAGTTGTCCGCTCTGCAGCAGGCCCGGGATGGTCCGGATGTAGCCCAGATTCAGGAGACCGTCCGGAGTGCGCGTGCCCGACGTGCTCGTGCTCCCCACCGCGTGCGACATTTCCACAGACCCGCAAACACGCGCACAGATACACGCGCACAGATACACGCACAGTCCCGCACGCAGAGACCCGCACGCAGAGACCCGCACGCAGAGACCCGCACGCACAGAGGAGGCAGAGGAGAAACAGCGGCGGAGGAGGAGGAAGAGGAGGAGGAGACACCGCGGACTCTCCGAGCACCGCCCCGACAAACTGCAGCTCACACCGAGTAAACACGCGCGGATCCGGGAGGGCCTCCGCAGTAAAAGCACCGACAGGAAACCGGACTCAAACTGGACTCAAACTGGACTCAAACTGAACTCAAACTGGACTCAAACTGAACTCAAACTGGACTCAAACCGGACTCAAACCGGACTTAAATGGTAAAACCTGGACCAAGTGCAAGAACTTTATAAGAACATTAGAAGAACTTTACAATATAATGAAACTTTACACCCGAGATGAAATGAAATGAAATCCAGACGCTCCAAAAGAGTGAAAGTCACACGAGGAAAAGTGAGAGTTAAAAAGAAAAAGTTTGAGTTAAAAGTCCATTTTGTGTGTGAAGTTTTGGTTGTTTTTCAAAGAGCGCCCTCTGCCTGTTCTCACGGACTGGAACACCTGCAGCAAACAGCACTTTCGTTTTTTCTGAACATAATGAAATTATAATTGAATTCAACATTAATAAAGTTTTTCTCTGTGTAAGAACATTAGAAGAAAAAACATTTTAGGAACATTCAGTGGATCCGTTTATGGCTCATTCACGTGTCTGTCGCCTCATATTTTGTTCTTTTAATTTTCATGCCCGTCCCCACAACTCCCTCTCGTCCCCGCAAGTCTGGCTTGTCCCCGCGACTCCGACTCGTCCCCGCGACTCCCTCTCGTCCCCGTGACTACAGCTTGTCCCCATGACTCAGGATGGAGTTCTGTGACAGGTGCAGACATGTGTTGTGGTTCTGTGACAGGTGCAGACATGTGTTGTGGTTCTGTGACAGGTGTAGACATGTGTTCGGGTTCTGTGACAGGTGCAGACCTGCGGGAGTTCTGTGACAGGTGCAGACATGTGTTGTGGTTCTGTGACAGGTGCAGACATGTGTTGTGGGTTCTGTGACAGGTGCAGACATGTGTTGGGGTTCTGTGACAGGTGCAGACCTGCGGGAGTTCTGTGACAGGTGCAGACATGTGTTGTGGTTCTGTGACAGGTGCAGACATGTGTTGGGGTTCTGTGACAGGTGCAGACATGTGTTGGGGTTCTGTGGCAGGTGCAGACATGTGTTGGGGTTCTGTGACAGGTGCAGACATGTGTTGGGGTTCTGTGACAGGTGCAGACATGTGTTGTGGTTCTGTGACAGGTGCAGACATGTGTTGTGGTTCTGTGACAGGTGCAGACCTGCGGGAGTTCTGTGACAGGTGCAGACATGTGTTGTGGTTCTGTGACAGGTGCAGACATGTGTTGTGGTTCTGTGACAGGTGCAGACATGTGTTGTGGTTCTGTGACAGGTGCAGACATGTGTTGTGGTTCTGTGACAGGTGCAGACATGTGTTGGGGTTCTGTGACAGGTGCAGACATGTGTTGGGGTTCTGTGGCAGGTGCAGACATGTGTTTGGGTTCTGTGGCAGGTGCAGACATGTGTTGTGGTTCTGTGGCAGGTGCAGACATGTGTTTGGGTTCTGTGGCAGGTGCAGACATGTGTTGGGGTTCTGTGACAGGTGCAGACATGTGTTGGGGTTCTGTGGCAGGTGCAGACATGTGTTGTGGTTCTGTGGCAGGTGCAGAGGTTCGGTCGGAGTGGTTTTATTGTGAAGGGCGTCTCGTGTCTCGGTCCGTGTTCTGCAGCTTGACTCGGTCCCGGACACTGCAGTGAGTCCCGCGCCCAGACTCCGGGTTCAGCTCGGCTCGGCTCGGCTCGGCTTTAATAATGCATAAAACTCCAGTCTTCTGGGTATTTCAGGAAACACACCGCTCAGCTCTTCAGATCTTTCCAAACGCATCAGATGTTTGTTCTGTTCTTTGGAGGAGCCACAAAAATAAAGAGTTTATACGGAATATTTAAAGTTAGATTTAAAGTAAAATGTGCGCAAAATAACACAAAAATAAATATATACATACATATATATATAAATAAATATATATTGAGTGATATATGTGTATGTATATATATGTATGTGTGTATATGTATATGTATATATATATATATATATATATATATATATATATATATATATATATATATATATATATATATATATATATATATATATATACGTATAAATAATTAAATAAAAACTTAAAAACTATTTCTGTCAATTCATAATAAATGTCCATGTTCTCAGGGTGCTCCTTCCCGCCTCTGTCCCCGCCTCTGTCCCCGCGTGTCCCCGCCTCTGTCCCCGCCTCTGTCCCCGCGTGGATCTCCCGTGTCTCTTTCGGCTCTGTCCCTGGTTTGTCTCGGTTTGTCTCGGCTTGTCTCGTCACAGTCTGAATGGAGCTCCGCGTATGGGACAAACCTGGACCCTTCTGACCCATGTTCTGACCCTCCAGCCCCGGGCCAGGTAACCCGTCACCCCGCCGTGACCCGCTCCTACCCCCGGTCCTACCCCCGGTCCTACCCCCGGCCCTGAGCCCCCTGAGCCCGGGGAGCCCCGCGCTGTCCCCCGGCCCCGGACCTCCGCTCCGCTGCCTTTTGCAACAGTTGGGCTCGAGCTAAGCTAATGCTAACACTTCAGCGCTGAGTTCTGTGAATAAAAGTTCGTGTTCGGGCAGTGAGCGGGTTCCGGGCGGGTTCGGGGACCGGTCCGGACTTGGGTCGTGTGGTTCGGTTCTTTGGTCTTATTTAGCCGATGTTGTTGTAAAAATAAAAGTTCCAGAATCAGCTAAAAGTGGATTAGCCGCTAATGCTAAATGCTAAGTGTGGCTAAGCTAACACAACAAACCCGAAGCTCCGTGTTTTGGGTCAGAACCGATTTAACTGTGAACGACCGTGTGAGACGAACCGAACCGAGTGTGCGGAAGGGCATCAGGGTTAAGTCCTTTATGTGCAAATACAGTAAAAAAAAAAAAAACATGACCAGGATTGTTTCATATTAAGGTCAAGTTTGTTTCTGTATCTGAGCCACTTAGTTCCACTGTAAGACCGGTCCGGCCTGGTTTAGTCTGGTCTGGTTTAATTTGTCATGATTCTGGTCCACTTTTGGTTTTGTTTAGGATTAAATAATACTTATCCTGCTTTGGTCCTGGTTTAATCCCAGTTTTGATGTGATCTATGTGTAAATGTGAACGTGCCTTAGTCCTGGTTTAGTCCTGGTTTAGTCCCGGTTTAGTCCCGGTTTAGTCCCGGTTTAGTCCCTTTTCATCCCTTTTCCTGGATTTGCTGGGGTCTTGCCCTCATTACGTCCCTGTTTGGCTGTGCTTTAATCCAGTTCTAGTCCAGTATTAGTTCTACTCTAGTCCTGAGTTAGTTCTAGTTCTGGTTTTCAGGTGTAAGATTGGAGAAGGTCCTGGTCTGGTTATACGTGTAAAATGGAGGGATCCCAGTCCCGGTCTGGTCCCGGTCTGACCCTGGTCCTGGTTGTGTTTTTCAGGTATAAAATGGCGGAGGGCCCCCTGTCCATCATCACAGAGGGAGACCCGGAGCTCCTCATCGACCCTGAAGTGGCTCTGAAGGCCTGTCAGGAAGTGCTCCAGTCACATGACCTCCAACAGGTGAGTCACTAATATCTGGGTTTCACATGACGTCACAGGGCGACGTTTGTCAGCGCAAAATCAGACGGAGGGCAGGAAGTGAAGTGACTGGAGGAAAATGCCGATGTGTTGTGTATTTTATGGCTGTGCCAATCGTTCTAACCGAGAGAAGGAAAAGCGATTTTTTTAGAGTACCGAATACAGTCGTCCACAAAGGTCAGAAATGGGAAAAGCCGACAGAACAACGCCTTAAAAAGTGGATTACAAACCTGTTTGCGGTCGGGAGGAGCAGAATTCACTAATGCTCGTGTCTGCAGTGAACACTTCAACAAAGGTTTGTTACAAAGATAAATTGTTTTTTGTGGTTTACCTAAACATAAACAAATCATTAACGACTAAAGACTAACGATGTTTGTTGACATTAAATAGTTCAGATAAATCGGTCACTGCAGTTTTTCCCATAACGTCGATACACATAAAATAAGAGAAACACTCACCCCGGCCAAGACCAAACCATAATCATCATTTAGTCGTTTTGCACCGAGGTTCAGGACCCATCTACTGACAAAAAAAGGTCTATGCCTCCAAACTTTTGTACACCTTCATCTGTTGTCTGGTGTAGAACGATGTCTGAAGAGCTAAATAGTTCGTGATCTCCTCTGCCTCGATTGTCGGCAAATCTTTTACTTCGGTTGAAAATTCTCTCATTTTCAATAAGATCAGGGTCACGTCCAATATATTTATCGACTAACTGCTCGTACTTTTGCCTCGCTCCTGGCTCTAAATCCTGACAATAAGAACTCTTCTCCATATCTGTGTTCTCCAGAGCCGTGTTTGTCGTGTTTCTCTTCACTTCCTGCCCTCTACCTGAAATTCGCGCATCATCGTGATCACGTGACTCAAACCCTCCTATTGTATGACTTGGTTCAGTTTTGGTCCCCCCCCCATTTTAGATTTTCTTCATTTCATATTTTTGTCACTGTAGCACTGAACTACAGCCTCTGCAATGGTGTTATTTTAATGGTGTTATTTTATTTTAGCGGTGTTATTTTAGCGGTGTTATTTTATTTTAGCGGTGTTATTTTATTTTAGCGGTGTTATTTTAGCGGTGTTATTTTATTTTAGTGGTGTTATTTTATTTTAGCGATGTTATTTTAGCTGTGTTACTTTAGCAGTGTTATTTTATTTTAGTGGTGTTATTTTATTTTAGCGGTGTTATTTTACTGGTGTTATTTTAGTGGTGTTATTTTGGTGGTGTTATTTTAGCGCTGTTATTTTGGCGGTGTTATTTTCGTGGTGTTATTTTAGCGGTGTTATTTTATTTTAGTGTTGTTATTTTATTTTAGCGATGTTATTTTAGTGGTGGTATTTTAGTGGTGTTATTTTGGCGGTGTTATGTTAGTGGTGTTATTTTAGTGGTGTTATTTTAGCGGTGTTATTTTAGCGGTGTTATTTTAGCGGTTTTATTTTAGTGTTGTTATTTTATTTTAGCGATGTTATTTTAGCGATGTTATTTTAGTGGTGGTATTTTGGCGGTGTTATTTTAGTGGTGTTATTTTAGCGGTGTTATTTTAGTGGTGTTATTTTAGCGGTGTTATTTTAGCGGTGTTATTTTAGTGGTGTTTTGCGTGATCTGTTATAGCAGGGGTGTCCAAACTTTTTTCATTCAGGGTCACATTTCTAAGCACAGACAAAGCAGAGGCCGGTCGAGGGCCGTGGACCGGTGCTCAGTACAGTGAATAATTGAAATCTGTGCAATTTTAACGTGTTAGAATGAGCCATCGATCTTTATTCAAACTAAGATCTTTAAAAACCACATACTGAATATTAAATATTCGCTTTCATCAAGGTAGATTTTCAAAAAACGTCCAGTAAAAAATACATTTTTAATTGATGCAAGATCATTTGGGCCAATTCACCTGGAAGCCTGAGGGCCAAGAAAAATTTGTCTAAGGGCCGCATTTGGCCCATGGGCCATAGTTTGGACTGTGTTCTATTGTTCTTTTATATAAGTATATACGGTGTATATATAGAGAGTATATATGGTGTATATAATGTGCACATGTATCATTTATCTGTAGTGTTTGTGTTGACTTGATGGGACATTGTGTTTTGTGGTTTACAGAAAGTTGACCCCGTCGCCCCTGACGACTCTGCCGACATAAGCCCCGCCGCCTCCTCTACGGCCACTCCCGCCCCTTCCTCTGAAAGCCCCGCCTCCTCTACGACGAGCCCCGCCCCTTCCTCGGTGGTGCGCCTCCACAAGCCCCGCCCCAAAGATGTCTCGTCCAATCAGCAGTCGTCGTGGCTCCTGCGTCTCTTTGAGTCTAAACTGTTTGATGTTTCAATGGCCATTTCATATTTGTACAGCTCCAAAGACCCGGGAGTACAGGTACTACTACTACTACTACTACTACTACTACTACAAGTACTACTACTACTACTACTACTACAAGTACTACTACTACTACAAGTACTACTACAAGTACTACTACTGCTACTGCTATTGTTACTTGTCAAGGAAATTCTGCTCACAAGACAATTGTGTTAGAAAAAACACTCAGAACGACAAAGAGCAGTTTATACTTGTGTGAGGAGAGTTGCTGGGCTGTCTGTCTGCTTCCTGCTCTACTCTGCCCCACAACCCTCCGAGTCACTCTTTTATTGAAAATCACTTCACAGATGAGCATATTTCATGACATCACAATACATATGGTTCACATGTTTTCTCATGACTAACAATCTTCAACTGAACCACCCTCCCATTTCACACTTGATGACATATGTCAGTGAGCGTCTGTTACGTGGGAGTTTCCCGAGGCTTTCAGTTCAGCAGATGATGGGACAAACCCGTTGTTTGTGACCATGGTAGATTAGTTTAATATGTCAGTTGACATGTCGTTCATATCAGCTGCTTGTTTTTACGTTCAGTGTCTCGAAAACAAAACGCCAAAGCAAAGTTGATTATATCATGATTAATATTTAAATGATTCACCCTTTAAATGATTAATACTTTAATGTAAGAATGACATATATAAATGAGTAACACTTTAATGAGACTTTAACCATAGAAATACATTTATATATCATCAGATTCTCTAACACTACTGTTACTGCTACTACTACAAGTACTACTACTACTACTACTACTACAAGTACTACTGCTACTACTACAAGTACTACTACTACTACTACTACTACTACTACTACTACTACAAGTACTACTACTACTACTACTACTACTACTACAAGTACTACTGCTACTACTACAAGTACTACTACTACTACTACTACTACTACTACTAAGTACTACTACTACTACTACAAGTACTACTACTACTACTACAAGTACTACTGCTACTACTACAAGTGCTACTACTACTACTACTACTACTTTTACTACAAGTACTACTACTACAAGTACTACTACTACTACTACTACTACTAGTACTACTGCTACTACTACAAGTACTACTACTACTACTAGTACTACTACTATTACTACTAAGTACTACTACTACTACTACAAGTACTACTGCTACTACTACTACTACTACTACTACTACTACTACTACTAGTACTACTACTACTACTACTACTACTACTACAAGTACTACTGCTACTACTACAAGTACTACTACTACTACTACAAGTACTACTGCTACTACTACAAGTACTACTACTACTACTACTACAAGTACTACTGCTACTACTACAAGTACTACTGCTACTACTACAAGTACTACTACTACTACTACAAGTACTACTGCTACTACTACAAGTACTACTACTACTACAAGTACTACTACTACTACTACAAGTACTACTACTACTACTACTAGTACTACTACTACTACAGTACTACTACTACAAGTACTACTAGTACTACTACTACAAGTACTACTACTACTACTACAAGTACTACTGCTACTACTACTACTACTACTACTAGTACTACTACTGCTACTACTACTACTGCTACTACTACTACTACTATTACAAGTACTACTACTACTACTACTACTACTACAAGTACTACTACTACTACTAGTACTACTACTACTGTACTACTACTACTACAAGTGCTACTACTACTACTACTACTACTACTACGTACTACTACTACAAGTACTACTTCTACTACTAGTACATGTACTACTACTACTACTACTACAAGTACTACTACTACTAGTACATGTACTACTACTACTACTACATGTACTACTACTACTACTACTAGTACTACTACTACTACTACTACTACTAGTACTACTACTACTACTACTACTACTACTAGTACTACTACTACTACTACAAGTACTACTACTACTACAAGTACTACTACTACTACAGTACTACTACTGCTACTACTACTACTACTACAAGTACTACTGCTACAACTGCAAGTACTACTACTACTACTACTACAAGTACTACTGCTACTACTACAAGTACTACTGCTACTACTGCAAGTACTACTACTATTACAAGTACTACTACTACTACAAGTACTACTGCTACTACTACAAGTACTACTGCTACTACTGCAAGTACTACTACTATTACAAGTACTACTACTATTACAAGTACTACTACTACTACAAGTACTACTGCTACTACTACAAGTACTACTGCTACTACTGCAAGTACTACTACTGCAAGTACTACTGCTACTACTACAAGTACTACTGCTACTACTACTACTACAAGTACTACTACTACAAGTACTACTACTACTACAAGTACTACTACTACTACTACAAGTACTACTACTACTACTACTACTACAAGTACTACTACAAGTACTACTACTGCTACAAGTACTACTACTACTACTACTACTACAAGTACTGCTACAAGTACTACTGCAAATACTACAACTTGGTCCTGGTCCTGGTCCGGTCCTGGTCCTGGTCCCGGTCCTGGGCCCGGTCCTGGTCCCGGTCCTGGTCCCGGTCCGGTCCTGGGCCCGGTCCCGGTCCTGGTCCCGGTCCTGGGCCCGGTCCTGGGCCCGGTCCCGGTCCCGGTCCCGGTCCTGGTCCCGGTCCTGGGCCCGGTCCTGGGCCCGGTCCTGGTTCCGGTCCTGGTCCCAGTCCTGGTCTTGTGTGTTTCAGGCGTACATTGGGAACAGACTGTTCAGTTTTCCGGACTCGGAGGTCGACTTTTTTCTGCCGCAGCTGCTCAACATGTACGTGCACATGGACGCGCACGTGGGCGACGCCATCAAACCCTACCTGGTACTGACCTTTGACCCCTGACCTTTGACCCCTGACCCCGACCCTCAGGACACTTGCCACGTTTCTATGAGAGCTTTAACTCTGAATAAAAATTTCATCCTGAATCAAACTGAATTCATCTTTTAAAAGTCCATGTAAACACTTAATTCTTCATGAAAACGATTCAGAATTAAACTTAAGTCTTTGGTTTATTCTGATTTTAAATCTGAGTGAATTTCTTCCTGGATCATGTTTCATGTTTTATCAGAACCACCGCAGGAAAAGTTTGGACGGTGTTTGTGTCTTGGACGAACAACAAACTGAGACAGAAAAGACACGAGCAGCTCAAGTGTTTGTGTTTAAATCTGTTGGAGTCTCTGTCCAATCAGACGCTCTCACGAAATAAAAAACATTTAACAGTTTAACACCAAACAACAAGAAAACATGATTATTATGATTATTATTATGATTATTATTATTTACATGGAAACTACAACGAGAAGATTTGAATTCAGATTAAAAACCTCATGTAAACGTGGACGTTCAAAACTCTCACCTCTTCACTGTTTGTACGGCTCCTCTTCCTCTGACGGCTCCTCTTCCTCTGTGACGGCTCCTCTTCCTCTGACGGCTCCTCTTCCTCTGACGGCTCCTCTTCCTCTGACGGCTCCTCTTCCTCTGACGGCTCCTCTTGACGGCTCCTCTTCCTCTGACGCTCCTCTTCCTCTGTGACGGCTCCTCTTCCTCTGACGGCTCCTCTTGACGGCTCCTCTTCCTCTGTCTCTCTGACGGCTCCTCTTCCTCTGTGACGGCTCCTCTTCCTCTGACGGCTCCTCTTCCTCTGTGACGGCTCCTCTTCCTCTGTGACGGCTCCTCTTCCTCTGTGACGGCTCCTCTTCCTCTGACGGCTCCTCTTCCTCTGTGACGGCTCCTCTTCCTCTGACGGCTCCTCTCTGTGACGGCTCCTCTTCCTCTGTGACGGCTCCTCTTCCTCTGTGACGGCTCCTCTGACGGCTCGTCTTGGTGCAGGTGTACAGGTGTCGTGGCTCGGTGCCCTTCAGTCTCACCTGCGCGTGGCTCCTGGGGGCGTATTCCAGCGACATGCACCTGTCGACTCAGACTCACTCCAGAGGCTCCAGACTCCGGAAGCTCATCCTGTCGGACGAGCTGCAGACGACGGCTCGCGGTCGAGGGGCCCGGGTCGCCGAGCCCCGCGGCGTGCACGTGGGGACCAGGCGCACGCATCAGGTCAGTGCTCCGGGCTCCGGGTTCGGGGCTCGGGGGCTCCGGGTCGGGGCTCCGGGCTCCGGGCTCCGGGTCGGGGCTCGGCGCTCCGGGCTCCGGGCTCGGCGCTCCGGGGTCGGGGTCCAGGCTCGGCGCTCCGGGGTCCGGGGTCGGGGTCCAAGCTCCGGGCTCGGCGCTCTGGGCTCCGGGGTCCGGGTTCCGGGCTCCGGGGTCGGGCTCGGCGCTCCGGGCTCCGGGCTCCGGGCTCCGGGTGGAGGACGGTCTAACCGCTGTGCCGTGTTTTCCAGCGCTCCAAGTCCGACGCCACCGTGAGCCTCACAGTCGCCCCGAGCTCCAGCCTCAAGAGGACGTCCTCCAACCCCCGCGTGGAGACGCCAGACCAGGTACGGACCGGGACTGGACCGGGACTAAGACTGGACTGTACTGGATCTGGACCGGTACTGGATCTGGACCGGGACTGAACCTGAACCTGGACTGGTACTGGACCTAGACTAAAACTGGACTGGACCTGGACTAAAACTGGTCTGGACCTGGACTAAAACTGGTCTGGACCTGGACCTGGACCTGGACTGGACTGGGACTGGACCTGGACTAAAACTGGTCTGGACCTGGACTGGGACTGGACCTGGACTAAAACTGGACTGGACCTGGACTAAAACTGGTCTGGACCTGGTCTGTGATGGTGCTAAACCTTCTCTGATGTGTGATAAATGCTGTGATGAACATGACCTTTGACCCTCAGGACAGTGAGTCTGGCTCCGAGAGTCCGACTGAGTCCGAGTCCAAGTTCGAGTCCCAGTCCCAGTCCCAGTCCGTCCCTGTGAGTCCAGGTGTATTCTGGGAAAAGGAGGAGAACCAAACAGGGAATTTTGTGCTTCATCCAATCACAGACAAGGAGCCTCTGGGTTTAACCAATCAGGAGCTGGTTCCAATCCAGGTCTCTAGTCCTCGGACCAAACCAGGTCTAACCCAGGTCTAACCCA